ATGTTATGCCTGATCAGTGTCTGTGCCAATGAGCTCTGTTCTCATCTGGTTCAAGAAGCAGTGCCGAAACGCTCCTTCCAACTTTAGCAGGGGCTAAAACTGCTGTAGGCCGGAAAAGAAGACGTATGCAAATGTGTTGGTTTTTGTGACATCACAAAAGCACTCAATTCAAAACTGGCTACATCTGCAGTGCATTGTGAACTGGGGAGTGAACGGTACAGTAAATACTGTACAATGTCTTCAAACTCTTAGTTTAACTATCCTAATAATTAAAAAAGTAGTTTTTGATGATATGAACCCTTTAATGTAACAATATTCCATTCATTCAAGTCCACTTCTGTTAGACCAGTCATCATGAAACGTTTGTCAGCTGCCACATACATTCTCTTATGTCAAAATAATAATAAAAACTAAGAGTATTGAGGTTTTCATAAGACAGCAATGCTAAAGACAGTCGTGTGCAAAAGTTTAGACGCCTCTGGTCAAGTTAACATACCCTCTACAGAGAACACACTTCTGCACATTTTAATGCACAACTGCTGTTTGTTTGCTGAATTTAACATTTCATTGCAGCCTTTGCAGAAGTTACGGCACATTTTATATGTTTTACCCCCCCTCAATATGTTAAACTCAGCAAATAAATAGAAACTGTGCACAAACAGTTGAAGATATATGCTATATTTAAGTGTATTCCCTTTAGAGGACGTGATCACTTTTTTCCCCACTTACAAAATCAACAAAACATGTCATTTAATCATGCTCCTCATAATGACAAAATGTGAAAACTTCAGCGTGCCAGCTCATCAGAAAGAACGCCGCACAACATGGCCTTTGGTACGAGCTCATGTGAAGTCGCAGGGAGGGCAGCCCTGGGGGGATTCGTTTAGGATTCCTGGGGAAGTTTAGAAAGAAACACAACTGGACCCGTGCCACCCCCCACTGAATTTAGAGTCATGACTCTTTGGCCTTAGCGCATTTATCCTGTCACAAGCCTTCATTTAGCCAGATTAGCAGCGAAGACGTATTGGCTAACATTACCGGCTCTGTTCCAAATCTCCACACATAAAGCTGCGCCTCAGTGAGCTCGGCAGCGAGCCTTCCTTCTGTCAAAACCTGGTCATTTATGGTAAACTCCAGCCGAAGGGCAACAGTGATCAGGGGAACTGAATGTACAGAGCTGTGTCTGCAGCCCACAGGGATTCTGGGTAATGAATCGCAACCGAAAGGCACACGGGGGGTTAGTGGAAGCGTCTGAAAAGGTTCACTGACTCCATATTTTGTAATCCGACGTGAACAATGACATAATTGAAGCCGGAGAGCAGGAGCAGAGAGAGGAAATAGGAAATTCACGCACTCTTTTTGTAGCAGGGCTGGACGATATTGACAAACTATAGTATTGTGATTACACTGCTACATATTGTGACTGCGATACAGTCTTCAGTATATTCGAAAGTGCAATGGTAGATCAATGATGTGACACAATCAAAATATATTAGATCTGATGGACGCACCTCGATTCAGAGATACTGGCCCAATCCCATTTCTTCTTTTTACCCCTAACCCCTTGTTTTCGAGTGTCACTCTAACCCCTGGGAACTGAGTTACAGGGTAGTGGTTGAAATCTTCCCTCTGAAATGGGACCCTCAAATAAAAAGAGCATCACTTCATTAACAGCTACTAGCGCTGCTCTGTAGGCGACGCTGCCAGTCTGCAGTGACAGCAGAGGAGGGTAAAGTTCAGCTCCTCACTGCTGGGCTTTAGTTACATTTAGGGCATCATATTCTTTCAAAGGGGGGCAATTATTTATTATCACCCACCCCTAATTCTTCAGTGATATGAAGCTGAAGTCAGTTTTTTGCCAGCTTCTCTTTCAAATTTTCCCGTTCCACCTTAAATGGTGCAGCAGTTACATTCTGGTGCTTCAGACGTCAGAACTGCTGTACTATTTAAGGTGGAACGGGAAAGTTAGCTAGCTAGCTACCGAGACATTAGCATGCTATTAGTGATTTTTTATGCTTGTTATGAAGGAAACGATCATAATACACTGAAACGACATTAAACTCAGATAATACAGTGATTATAATAATTTTTTAACGGAGAAAATTCTCACATTTGTGTGTTTCTTTGGTCTCTTGTGCTCCATCTTACCAGTTTTTCTTTTTTCTCATAACTCTCTGTTTGGAGCCTCTGAAAAACCTCTGTTTGGAGGGTCATGTAGCCCCAACACTTCGCCCTACCCCTCTATCTCAACAAGAATCAGGACACCCTACCCCTAGACGTGAACACGCAAAACAGAGGGCTAAGGGATAAGTGGTAGGGGCGAGGGGTGAAATGTGATTGGGCCACTGACTGGTCGGGATAGGAGTGGGCAATATGACGATATTTTATCATTATCGTGACAAATTACTTCACAATATGCTTTTCTGCTTAAGCACAAACACAGCATAATTAGTTTGTTTGGCTAATATTGAATAAACATCAGTTCCAATTTATTAAATCTCAGAAAATAAATACCGTGATGCATATTGTGTGAATATATGTCAATATATCTTAATATGTGGTAACACATTTTCACCATATTGCCCTCCCCTACGTCTGGATGCTCACAGCTCACAGTAAAAGCCACTGCGATTGGTTAGAGGGCTCATTCGCATATCACGGCCCTGTATCGTCAAGGCTGCATTCCATGTAAAACATTCACGTCAAGACTGTCACATAAAGCTGCAGCTGCCCTTACGTTTAAAAAAGCGACGCAAACGGAAGAGCAACCACAAACCAACATCCATCCACCACTCTCACTTGAGATGGGAAAACCGATGTAATTCAGGGCCTGGCTGGCTTAAAAATTCTCCGTTTCACTCTGGGGACTCCCTTTCCCACGACTGCCTTTATCATAAGGAACCAAATCTAACTCACTGACCTCAAATAAAGCCCTGTAACAGTTACGAGTACAAATATCTCTTCCCTTTCTTGCTTCCTCTCCACAACACAACCGTCTAGAGTGCAATATGGCAATAATACAGCAAAAAGTCTGAATATAATCAAGATAAAACAAATAGTAAAAAGCAAATGATTACAATTAGATGATGTCATTGTGCTGCCATTCAGTATTTGTGACTATGCAGTTACCCGCTGGTTGTTGCTTACAGGTCCAAATCTGTTTTGTTTTTGTTTTTATGAACCATTTTATACTCAGAAAAAAGCATATGTGACCAAATTTATCACAATAATGACAACATACAGTCATACTGCCCACCCCCTAACTCAGAACAGCATGATTCTTCTTTGATGCTCCAACAGAAAGACAGTAAATAAGCCTGCAGTGCAAGCTGGAGTCTTCTAAAAACAAAAAAAAGGGTGTCACAAATGAGTGACTTAAAGGGGAATTCCACCAACTTTTCAAAATTTCTGTATAATTCAAAGTCAGGGTGGTTTAATGTGAAACGATTCAGGGTAGAGCAACCTAACAACTTAGATTCCTTTACAGAGGTGATGATCGGAACCAAGGTTCACGATGTACACAACGCAAAAAACTGCTATTTTATTTACTATCCATAACCACCACATGTGTTCTGATATTTTTGTGTTGTTGCTAATGTTAACAGTGTTATATCTGGAAAAAAATAAGGTCAGTTTTGTGACTATTTGGCCTCACAACGCCCTGCATGTACCTCTCAGCTATGAACGGCTTTTAAAATATAAAATTTATGCCAAACCTTTACCTCAAAACTTTCTGAAAACGAGCAGGCAGTGAATTCATAACCATTTCATGTAATAACTTTCTGTGAGGGAGGTTTTAGAGGTGGACGTCTGGTTCCTATCACCACCGCTGTGAACAGTTCTGACTCTAAGCTTCTTTAGAACAGAGCACGCCAAACCGCTCTGAACGACTCTGTTTACATTCCAACCAGTTAATTATGCAAAGATTTTTGAAAAGTCGGTGGAATTCCCCTTTAATCCCTGTATCTACTGTCTGTCCTCCTCCTCAGTTTCAGTTTGGCCTACAACGCTAGGCTTATCTTGTCATTCACCACAGCCTTCAGGCCTCCACTTCCAACTTATTTGGCTATCCACATAGCTTTGACGTTAAAATAGCAGATAAAGACGTGTGTTGCCCAAAAATGAGCAAAAAATTAGAGCTGGTTCAACGACAAAGGCCTCGACAGTGTGTGTGAGAGCACCGGGAGAGGAAGTAGCGGTCAGTGTGGCTTCAGTGGTGTCGACGAGAAGTGTTTCTCACACAACATAATCACCTTTTATTTCATTTTTTCGCCCGAAATGGGCTCCATGTCGTGTCACAGTGATTCATTTCAGCCTATAAGGCTCCCAGCTCACGTCTCACCACACACAAAAGGCCATATCTGGCTCAGAACGAGCAGCTTAGCTTACAGGTTTGGGCCCCTAAAACGTTCCCAGACCAGCGTTGGGCCTTTTTCAGTCACAGTATGGCTTTTATTTTGAGAACATTAAACGGATGTAGGAGGCTGATGGCTTTGTTGGGGTTTTTGAGCAGCACTGCTCTTATTCGCCAGCTTCTTGTTTCGAACTTCCCCGTTCCACCTTAAATGGTGCGGCGGTTATTATAACGCCTCAGGCGCCAGAATGTAACTGCTGCACCATTTAAGGTGGAACGGGAAAATTCGAAACAAGAAGAGGAGGGCTGGCCAACTTCAGCCTCGGGCTGTCAAAACGTTAGCAGCTTGGTGAAAAAACGGAAAAGGGGGCGAGTGACAAAAGGCAGAGGAGAAAATAAAATAAATAAAATAAATAAAATAAAATAAATAATAATAATAATAATAATAATAATAATAATAATAATAATAATATAAAAGTCCTTCCTTCATTCACTGTTGAAACACCATCTGCTCATCAGTGTTTGAGAGAAGTGAGATTACATCATCGTCACAGGAGGTGCAGCTCCTCTTTTTGAGTCCAAAATATGGGAAAAAAATAAAATAAAATAAAAAAAAATTAATAAATAAATAATAAGCATCACTTACCCTCTCTTGCTTTTAGGAGTACCGTGTTTGCTACGATATTCTCCAGCTCCATTAAAGAATCCACTCCGATATTTGCCCCTGGAAGGCAAAAGAAAGGGGGGAAAAAAGTCTTCGAGAGGCTCCTCCCAGCCCAATTCTGCTATTTTCCCTACTTTCCCTTCTTCTTCTCCCTCCGAATAGAATCAAAGGCAGCGCATTTTACGCACGCATGTCTGCATGTGCCAAGCAGTTTGGTGCGCACAGACGGAATGACAGAATGGCAGAGTGCGTAGGGGTGGCATTGCCAAAATGCACCGAGAGAAATAAATAAATATCTTTTTTAAAAAAGGTCCCATTAAAGGAGAAATGTGCTGTAGGATTTGTGCGTTGGGGGGGGGAGGCCGAGCTTTACATCCTCTGATAATAATGATGATGATGATGATGATGATGGTGAGGAGGAGGAGGAGGAGGAGGGTGGTGATGATGCATGCCAGAAAGAAAGAGGATGAAGAGGCTGAAGACTGAAGATTTGAAGGTGCTCCGGCCCCGCGGTGGATCCCAGCCTGGCTGACCGGGCTCGGTGCGCTGCCCCCCGGCTGCAGGCGTGCTCCCTCTCCCGGTGGCGCCTCCTCGCTCGCTCGCTCACCAAAGCGCCGCTTCTTTTATTTATTTTTTCGTATTTAGATTTTTTTTTTTTGGTCACTCGCACTTTTTTTTCTTCTTCCTGGCCCGGTGCCCGTGCGGCATTCCCCGCAGCTCCCGATCCAGCGTCCGAATAAAAGTGTCACAAAGATCCGAACATGAAATAAAAGCGATAAAAGCGGCCAGCCGGCGGTGCGCGGGCCTACAGCGGGCTCGGGGTTGCCATGTTCTCCGCATTGATTCAGAGCCGCTATATCTCCGCCCTCCAGCGGCTGGAAGGGGAGGGGGAGGGGGCGTGGCCGCGTCTGCTTCTCTGCGATAGCACACACACTCTTAAAGGGGAACGCCACCGATTTTTCAAAATTTCTGAGTATTCAGTCTTTGAGACAGAATACATATATATATTTATACGTGTGTGTGTGTGAGTGTGTGCATATATATGTGTATAAATATATATATATATATATATGTGTGTGTGTGTGTGTGTGTGTGTGTGTGTGTGTGTACATCATCTAAAGCGCTTATCCTTCTGGGCCGCAGTGGGGTGCTGGAGCCTATTCCAGCTGTCATTGGGCGGAAGGCAGGATACACCCTGGACAGGTCGCCAGTCCATCACAGGGCAGACAGACAGACATACACAATCACACACTGACTCACACCTAGGGGCAATTTTAGCATGTCCAATCAGCCTGACTGCATGTTTTTGGACTGTGGGAGGAAACCGGAGTACCTGGAGGAAACCCACGCAGACACAGGGAGAACAGGCAAATATATATATATATATATATATATATATATATATATATATATATATATATTTTGATAGATAGATACTTTATTACACAGGACAGCAATAATAATAATAAGGGTGAAACAATATAAAAAGAAGACTAAATACAAAAAACCTATCTACAGGCATAAATACACATAGAAATATACAAAAATCTGCAATAAGATCTATAACCTTAGATGAAAAAGGCAGTTTAATAACAGCATATAATGACAATACTGAATAAATATGTGCATATATTGGTACTGAAATGAAGTGTCCAGGTGTGGAGTGTCCAGATGTGCAAGATGCACGGTAGGTTACAGAAAGTGTAATATGTACAGTAAGGTGACCACATGTGCAGATGGATAAAATAAACCTATGATTTAGCCTGAGATTGAGATTCAGTCCTCATCTCTCCTCTTCCCTCTTCTTCTGGCCCCCTGGGAAGAGTTGAAGAGCCTGATGGCTCTGGGGACAAAGGATCTCCTGTCTGTTGGCAGAGCAGCTCTGTGACAGCAACCTGCCACTAAACACATAAACAGTCGTTCGGAGTGGTTTGGTGAGAAACGGCTTATTTTTTAATAAACCCACAAATTCAGATGTCTTTACAGTGGTGGTGATAGGAACCAGGAGTCACTGTGTCTACAACATAACCGTTTACAGCATAACCAGTTTATTTACTCTGCAAAGGGAATCTACATGTGTTTTCTGAGTTTTTATGTAATGTTGATGATGTTAAAATAGTGATACGTTTGGGAAAATACGTGGACTATTTTGCATCACAATGCCCTGCATGTATCCCTCCACCATGAATGGATTTTAAGTTCTCAAAACTATTGTAAAACAGCATCTCAGGCATCAGGCAGTGAATTCATAACCATTTCACATAGTAACTTTCTGTGAGGGAGCTTTTAGGGGTGGACGTCTGGTTCCTATCACCACCACTGTGAACAGAGAACATAGCATTTCATACCAAACCACTCTGAATGACTTTAGTTACGTCTCATTCATGTAATTATATACAGCTTTTTAAAAAATTGGTGGAGTTCCCCTTTTAAAAAGATGGTCCTTCAAGGGTTCTTTAGTAAAGACAGTAGTTCTATGTTGAACCACTGGATGGGGAATATACAACCTTATAGAAATTGGTTCTATATATATAGCACCAAAAAGGGTTGTTCTACTGTTATAAACTTTACATTGTAACAATAGCAGAAACTCTTTTTGGTTCTATATAGAACCGTTTTCAAAAAGGTTCTATACATAACCATATACAACACATTCCCCATCAATCTAAAGAACCATTTCAGTACACAAATGGTCCCTTATAGAACATATGGTTCTAGAACTATTGCCTTTACTAAAGAACCGTTGAAGAACTGTTTTTAGTGTTACTATAGCTTTGCTTTGCCGGCGCCGGTCAGCTTTTTATTCATTTATTTATTTATTTTTACCTTTTACTGTTTTAACGCTTTCGCTAGCATTGCTAAGTTAGCTGGTTAGCATATTGTGGTTCCCCCCATTCAGTATTGGGATAGCTTTAGCATCGCTTTAGCTTAAGCTACTTTTTTAAAAGATACTTTTTTCAGCCCTGGAAGATTTTTGTTTTCTGTTCGCCCCGTTTACTATGCTATTAGCTTTAGCCTCACTGCTTGCGTTAGCCGATTAGCATCTTCTTTATTTTTTTATTTTGTTCGTTTAGTTTTAGCATCGCTGTCAGCTTTGCTAGCGCCGGTTAGCATTCTGTTGTTTCCTCCCATTCACCTTAGGCGGATCCCAATTTAGCTCCTTACTCCCTACGTAGTGCACTATGTAGGTCACGAAATATGGACTTCTACATCCAAACGGTGTATTATGCACCTACTAGAAAGCCATTTGGGATTTACTCGACTCCTCATTTAACATTAAGTTCACTATTTGAGTGTAGAAATCGTAGTTTCTTGACTCAAGTAGTGCACTACGTAGGGAGTAGGCAGCCATTTGAGATTCAGCCCGTATTTAATTAGCTTTAGCATTAGTGCTAGTTTTGCCAGCGCCGGCAAGCGTACGGCTGTGTCCCAAATGGCTTCCCCCTACGCCCTATGTAGTGCCCTAGAAAGGTCGCAAAACAGCGCTAAACTAGTCTAGTTCACACTATATCTAAAGAGAGATCAATTCTGCTAAACTAGCGCATTGTTTTTAACACTTCTCAATTGTTTTGGTCGAAGATAGTGGTGTTTATTCAAGCACAGCATAATAAGAGTTTACTATATACCTGATTTGGGTAGATTTTATTGGCCTTTTATGTAGAATGTGAAATTTGTTGGTTATATACTGATCCCATTCTATTAAAACCTTTGTAAATATTGTCAAAAATCAAAGTGTAGGCTTCTAAATCATAGTATACTGTGGTGAACTATAAGGTTTAAAACCAAGGCTTAAAACCAATTCAGGGTGTGACTTTGAATTCATTTTGAACGTAATCTTAAATCATCAGAGGGGAATATGAACAAATTAGGGCCCACCTGTGCACAGGAAGCATGTGGACGTTCACTGGTGCAAAAAAAGGCCCCACTGACGTCTCGTATATCTATTAATTATCAACACAATTCAATTCAATTCTCAGCAAGCAGCCTTTTTTGTTCTGCATGTCTTCACTGACCAATAAAACCTCTGCAGCTCAGTGGAAGAGATAATGATGCAACTTCCTCAGAGGGCTCTGAGGACTCAGAGTTGATTTTTATCTGCATATCTCACTCAGCAATCCACCACAGGAAGTCTTATGTATAGCTGCTGCAGGGACTGTTAGAAGTCTTTGACCGTCGCCCAGAGCTACTGACTTTGTGTCTGAGCAGCTTCAGTTAGACATGGCAAATAATAATAACAACTACAGTACATATGAAATATGACCATTTTAGGGAACCTTTTGTAAGACAATGATAATGTATTTCTTACTAATTGAAAGAAGTAAATATGCTCTGATTCTTCAGCCCGTTCTTAACGGCAGTATTTGGCGACACCATGTGGTGCAAGAGGGAATTACACAAAGCCAATGATCATCAATAACTTTCAAAACTTCAAACATCAGCATTTCTCAGAGTACAAAAGCCTTAAAGAGGCTCAGAAACCTGCAACGACAGGGTTGGATCATGGTTGGATCTCATGGTTGGATATTTGGATATTTTGTGTATATTTCATTTATTTCAGTCTCAGTATTTTCTTGTATTTTTATTTTTACTTTGTTTACTTTCTGTAGAGTGATTAGCTGAGCCTCATCACAAGCATTTTAATGCATGAATGTCCTGACATGTTGCACAAATGACAAATAAACTTGAAACTTGGAAGTGAATAGAGCTTTAAAGCTTGTTAAAGGGGAATTTTTCAGATGTTCTTCATAATTCAGTGATTGAGATGTAAACAGAGAGATTCAGAGTGGTTTGGTGTGAAATGGTTCAGATGTCTTTACAGTGGTGGTGATAGGAACCAGGGGTCGCCATGACTACAGCACAAATATAGACATTTTATTTACTATCCAGAACCACCAGTGAACCTACACGAGTCTCCTGAGTTTATATGGAATTTCGATGATGGGGAAAAAGTGAAAAATCTGAAATAATACATCTTATTTGGGGACTATTCTGTCTCATATGTACCTCTTCACCATGAATGGATTTAAAAAACCTGTTTTACGCACTAAAACCTTCTAAAAACTATCATAAAACAGTGTCTCAGTCATCAGGCAGTGAATTCATAACCATTTCATGTAGGAACTTTCTGTGAGGGAGCTTTTAGAGGTGGACGTCTGGTTCCTATCACCTCCACTGTGAACAATTCTGACTCTGCAAGTTTCTCTAGAACAGAGCGTTTCACACCAAACCACTCTGAATGCCTCTGTTTACATCTTAACCTTTTAATTAAGCAAAGAATTTTGGAAAAATGGTTGGTATTCCCCTTTTAAGGGGAACGTCACCAATACTAACACAATTCAGTAGCTCCACTTGTTCAGCCTACAGCAGTTTAGCACCTCCCACTGCTGCTGAAGCTATAAAGAGCGACTGAACCAGGACTGCTTTTTGAAAGATGCACAATAGAAAGTCACCAATAAGAACAGGGATATATTGCATATATTGGTCTTAAGACAGAGTAACAGAAACAGCCTGTTTAAAAATGCTCATGTAGAAATGAATTATGACTGTTTTTGGTTCATAAACAACAATCAAATGTCATAAATGGACCTTAGTGGGAAATAAATCATGTAAATGTATCAAATAAGCCCCTCATTTTTTAAGGTAATCAAAACCATAAAGTACTGCGTTCTGCTGACCTTCCTAAATACTGGACACTAAATGAACTGTGAAGAGTTAAAGGGCCCCATCCTACATTTTTCTTTAACTACCCCCCCCCCCATGACATTTGTACTGTTTATTGCACTAAAAAACAGTCATAGTGCATTTTTTCAAACATCTCTTTATGCCTTGGAATCAAATAAGCTGTTTTTTGTTACTGTGCCTTTAAATCTTATATGCGAATGAGCTTCATTCTGATTGGTTCTGCCTTGTTTAAAAAAAAACAAACAGTCCAGTCTGAAACACTTCTGACCCAAATGAGTGGGTGGGGCTAAATGCTTTAGTTTTTATGACATCACAAAAACAACAAATTCAAAACGGAATAACTTGCATCTTGAAATGGCTCTTCAGATTGATAGAGAATGTGCTGCAGATGGTTCTATATAGAACCTTCTTGAAAAGCGTTCTTCTGTTACGATGTCCAGCTTGTATACGACAGAAGAACCCTTTTTAATGCTATATAGAACCATCTACCGCACGTTCTACATCAATCTAAAGAACCATTTCATGATGCAAAGAACCATGTAATCATGCAAAGTGTTCTTGGTTCTATACAGAACCAGTTAATTTGAAGAACCATCTTTTGAAGAGTGTACGGTGTAAAAAACGGTCTGTTTTGAATTCATTGTTTCTGTGATGTCACAAAAACCAAAGCTATTGCACATATCCATATATTCCGGCCTACAGCCGTTTAGCTCTGCCCACTCATCATGAAGTCATAAGGAGTGTTTCAGTCTGAGCTGAATCTCCTTAAGTTCAGTCACATCACTCCACTGCTGCGCTCCCTTCACTGGATTCCTGTAGCTGCAGGCATCACATTTAAAACCCTGATGCCTACAAAGCCAAAAATGGACCAGCCCCTCCCGACCTGATGGCTCGAACCGTACCACGAGCCCTTCGAGCTTCAAGCACAGCTCGGCTTGACCCGCCATCCTTCAAGATGTGTGGAAGACAAGTATCAAGACATTTCCCTGTACTGGAGCCCAGGTGGTGGAACGAACTCCCACTGGCTGTCCGAACAGCAGAGTCTTCAAACGCAGAGTGAAGACTCATCTCTCTATACAGCACTTAAACCGATCAGACATAACTTTATGACCACCTCCTTATTTCTACGCTCATTGTCCATTTTATCAGCTCCACTTACTATATAGGTGCACTTTGTAGTTCTACAGTTACAGACTGTAGTCCATCTGTTTCTCTGATACTTTGTTAGCCCCCTTTTACCCTGTTCTTCAGTGGTCAGGACCCCCATGGACCCTCACAGAGAAGGTACTATTTGGATGGTGCTGGTACGAGTGGATCAGACACAGCAGTGTTGCTGGAGTTTTTAAACACTGTGTCCACTCACTGTACACTCAATTCGACACTCCTACCTCGTCAGTCCACCTTGTAGATGTAAAGTCAGAGACGATAGCTCATCTGCTGCTGCACAGTCTGTGTTGGTCATCCTCTAGTCCTTCATCAGTGGTCACAGGACGCTGCCCACAGGACGCTGTTGGCTGGATATTTTTGGTTGGTGGACTATTCTCAGTCCAGCAGTGACACTGAGGTGTTTAAAAACTCCAGCAGCACTGCTGTGTCTGATCCACTCAGACCAGCACAACACACACTAACACACCACCACCACGTCAGTGTTACTGCAGTGCTGAGAATGATCCACCACCCAAACAGTACCTGCTCTGTGAGGGTCCATGGGGGTCCTGACCACTGAAGAACAGGGTAAAAGGGGGCTAACAAAGTATCAGAGAAACAGATGGACTACAGTCTGTAACTGTAGAACTACAAAGTGCACCTATATAGTAAGTGGAGCTGATAAAATGGACAATGAGTGTAGAAACAAGGAGGTGGTCATAATGTTATGCCTGGTGGGTGTAAGTGCTGTTGATACGGGTCCTTTAAGTGCCTCATGTGACCTACAAATGCAGACTAAACCAAGTCACCCAAACCACAGAACGTTCAGTACAAAATAGGTTTAATAGAACAAAAATATCTTCAGTGTTGTGTAGCGTGAATTCATCCCAACATAAACAACAACATAACATCATACAGGGAACGCAAACACTGACTTTAAGGTTGCATTATTCTTAAAGTTCAAACTAAAAGCCAGCAGGCCAAGTGCTTCCGTTTGGTCCATCCTCTATTTCCATATGGCCTCACCAGCCACAGCGGGAAAGCAAAAGATGGAGAGAAATCATCACGCCGCGCGTGATTTACATAAAACATAAACAGTCATGATCACAATCTTCCGTGATGGTCATAATGGTCACAGGTAATAAACAAACACTAAAACTGAAAACAAACAAAAACATTAAACCTAGAGATGTTTCAGAAATCATCCAGAGTGTCGGCTTTGGGGATGGACAGGCCTCGCTCCTTCACCGCCTGCAGCTTCTTCTTCTCGGACTCCTGCTTGGCCTGCTGCTCCACCCGCTGCTCCTGCAGAATCTCCTCGATGGACACTCTCTGGAGGATCTGGTCACATTCTTTGTCGAGGTCCTACAGAGAGAGAAGAACCAACCCGGAGTTATTCGTTCAGATTCAGAACAGACTCAGTTTATATCACAATACCTACATTTAGAGTCAGTTATTCATTCAGCCTAATGAGAAACTGTAGAACAGACTCAGCTTATATCACAATACCTACATTTAGAGTCGGTTATTCATTCAACCTAATGAGAAACTGTAGAACAGACTCAGTTTATATCATTTTATAGTGTGATATTAATTTGATACCTTGCTGCTCCCTCCAGACAAATTAAATTAACAAACATTACTCAGCGCCACCCTCTAAAGGCATCATTAATAAACATCAAATAAACAAACATCGACAAACATCACTGCCGCCCCCTGAAGTGTTAAAACATCGCATAATTATGTGATAGAAAATGCATAGATCAGGTGTAGTTTATATGTTGTGTAATCGACTAAAACCAGGGGTCGCAACCCAAACGCTAAGAAGAGCCATTTAATCCTTTCAACAAAAATCAAACCACCTTGGGAGCCTCAACATTTTATGTCCATTTTACCATCTTGGCTGTAAATATGTCTCAGTATGGGTTAATGTACTGGTACAGGCTAACAAATTCAATACAAACAAAAAACGCAGATTTACTTTGCTCTGCTTTAAGCTGTAGCTCAGCTATAGCTGCTTCTCTCGCATCTCCAGCAGGAAACTTTTCGTCAAAAGTAGAACAGTTTCTTGTCAAATGTCTCTCAATGTTCGACTTTTTGTGAGGCTGAAGTCGCTTCTCATTCGCCAGCTTCTTGTCTGAATGTTCCTGTTGCACCTTAAATGGTGCCGGAGGTGCCAGAATGTAACTGCAGCTCCATTGATTTCACTCCACTGAATTCAGCTTTGTGACTTTTCAGTGTTTGTCAGTTACGTTTAATCTGTTAGCAGATTAAACGTATCAGGAAACCAGCTGGAGTGATTAAAAACGCAAATCAGTCCATTCGTCTCCAAATTATCGATGTTCGTCTAAAATCTTTCTCTTTGTCGTTTCGTTAGCTACTAGCTAGGTGAGACTGTTTTCTGTGTTGCTATGGTGACCAGCAGTCTGCGCTGATCTTCAGGGTTAAAGGGTGAATTAGCAGTTCTACATTAACTCCAGAGTTTAAGACCATTTATTGTTAAATGAATTCTGCTGTGGAGCCACAACAGGGCTCGACCCCTGGATTAAACGTTACCATATCGTTGTTTCCAGCCTGTCTAGTTTTGACTGCAGGGTCCAGGGTGAGCGCTACAGTTCCTCATTACACTGAATGAGATTTAGCAGCTATGACAGAAAGCACTTGTGGGCGGAGCTTACATCAATTATGATAAACAGGGCTTCTGCTTCTTATCAGAATGGGTTATTTTATTATGACGTGCTTAAAACTAGTCTTGTTTCCATGGAGACATCTTAAGAACAACAAAGGAAGTCTGTACTTACAACTTCTCCAAGTAGGACAACGTTTTCTCCTCTGACGACGAATATCCCTCGGGGTATGTCTCCGAATTTTTTACCGACATGGATTCGCTCCACTGTCTGATGCAAAACTAAATTGGCTGTGGTTGAGAAACAAAGCTGTGGTATTACACTTTAAACAGTCAGAGTAGATGGCAGTTTATTTAATACTAAAAGTTTTTAAATCCACATTAATGCTATAGAAATCACAAAGAAATTATTTTTACGTGCACAAGACATCGACAGATCACGATCCCCAGTAAAATAACACCACAACAGTTGTAGGCAAAAGTTTGGGCACCCCCAGCCAAATTACATATTTTGTTGGTTTTTGAAGTGGAACACAAAAACAACTAAGCAATTTTTTTTCTGCAAATGTTGACAGACAGTTCATATTTGATTTGATTTTCATTAAAAAAAATAATAATAAAAAAATAAAGCAGGAATTGTGACATAAGCAATTATTGTGACAATTATTTTCATATAAATATATCATTAATTATTGTAATATAATTATTTATTAGTATTATTGGTTATTATTAGTATTAGTATTACTACATCAGTACTTAACATCACCATTGACAGATACGTTTCTGTTCTTGTTTTAGGAATTTTTATGCACTTTATAGTTACTATTTTTTTTCCATTTTCTGTAATTTGGCCAAATTTTCCTTACACTTTTGCCACAACTGTAGGCCATGAATTAACATTCAGACACTGAGCTTTAATGAGCTAATTTAACTCAATGTAGTCAACATCAGGCCTACATACCGAACTGATCTATACTTCTGAGGATCCCAATCAGCGTTCTCCCATCTCTCAGCAGAACCAGGTGCTTTTCTGGAAAAAGGAGAAAAAATGAGTCACCTCTAACTCACAGACTGTGGTCATATTAAAAAGGAGTTTCACTGTTTCACATAATTCAGTGTTTGAGATGTAAACAGAGTGATTCAGAGTGGTTTGGTATGAGATGGTTCAGATGTCTTTACAGTGGAGGTGATAGGAACCAGGGGTCGCCATGACTACAACACAAATATAGACGTTTTATTTACTATCCAAAACCACCGGTGAACCTACACGAGTCTTCTGAGTTTATATGGAATGTTGATGATGGAAAATAGTGGAAAATCTGAAATAATAAGTTTTCTTTGGGGACTATTTTGCCTCACAACACCTTCAGTCATCAGGCAGCAAATTCATAACCATTTCATGTAGTAACTTTCTGTGAGGGAGCTTTTAGAGGTGGACGTCTGGTTCCTATCACCACCACTGTGAACAATTCTGACTCGGTAAGTTTCTCTAGAACAGAGCGTTTCACACCAAACCACTCTGAATGACTGTTTACATACCTTTAAGGCCAATTTCTAAGTAATTTTTAACAGTGGTCTACAGGAAATTAACAATCAATCAATCTATCTGTTGAGTTTCAGCAACAACACAACTGTACAAACCACATTCAAAGGGTAAAAGCAAAAGGGACCAAATTAGAAAATCCTTTCTTAGAAAAAAGTGACCTGAATAACAAGCACCCTTGTAAAAAATTATCCATGATGATTGATTAGATTGGCTCCGGTCATCCTACACACCTTCACTTAAAAGTCTGGACTCATAATTTATCATATTTTATGTACAAAAAAACACTTATAAAACATAGATTTACATCTTAAACTAGACATGTTTAGACCTTTTATTCAATATTTCAAGGACTGAGTTATTAAACGCAGCAAATTATATACTATAATTATTTATTTGGAAATTTTTTGTAAAGTTATGTACCGTACGATTTGGTCGTTTGTAAAACAGGCATCCTGAATATTAATTTTATTAGAACATGCTTGATGTTACGCAGTTACAGTTCATCATATATATCATATCATATAAGTGTCTTACTAATTAATTGAAATAAATATATATGTGTGTGTACACACACACACATACATATATATACATACATACATACATACACAAATATATATATATATATATATATGCACGTGTCTAGCACATTAGAATCCATTTTATTCTTTCATCTGCCATCTAAATTGTACTGTGTTGGGGAAAAAGCTTTAATATTTACAAGTTTTCAAATGTACTTGAGTTATTGTGTATTTTAGTCTCATAAGTGTCCACCAACAGGACTCTCTCTGTCTTTAACGTGTATTTTAGGACTAATCTGCTGTTTTCCAGCTCCTGTAAGAAGCTGAAGTTGACTTCTTACTCAAATTTTCCGTTCCACCTTAAATAGTCCAGCAATTACAGTGAGGAGCCCGAGGCGCCAGAACGAAACTGCTGCAGTATTTAAGGTGGAACGGAGAGTTCCAAGCAGAAGCCAACTCCAGCCGCAGTGCTACTCTGGTCTTCAGCGGTTTCAGGCCGGAGTAAAACCCCCGGAGGTCTGTGACTCACTGTCGATGTCCTCGATGAGGCTGGCGGTGCCCGGCATGTAGTTCATCCTGCAGACATGCGGCGAGTTTGAGGAGAAAAACCCGGAGAAACTGAGGAAACCTCTGCCACAGCAAATCCAGCAGCGGCGCTCATATAGGAGAACATCCGGGTCACTCTGACCCTTTAAAGGGCCCACACGCTTTTAAATCTCTTTTTATTTAAATAGCTACAAATAATTTTTTACTTTTTAAAAATCTTATCACTTAATTTTTACTTACCATTTTTACCTTTTTTTTTTTTATTCTCTTTTTAATTTTGGATCAAAATGTATTTGCAATTTTGTTACTTTTTACAGTTTGTTGATCTTTTACTCGCCAACTTTTATTTTGTATTCATTATCCTAGCTTTAATCTCTAATTTATGGCGCTTTTATCTTTTATTGTATTATTTATTTTATTAATTTGTTGTAAATAATCAGAGTAGATTTTGTTTTAAATTGTGTTTGATTTTTAAATTTTGTTTTTATTTTTTAATTCTAATAAAATGTTTTACTTTCTATCTTTTATTTTTATCCTTAAATTATTACTTTCATTTTTCTTTTATTGTACTGTTTATTCTTCTTTTATTTTACCTTATATTTTATGTGTTTTAATTTTCAGATTTTGTGAATTGGCATGCGGTCTATCCCTGTCTGTGATTGGCTAGGATGTTTTCCTCTCTGTTTCTGATTTGTTAATTTGTGTCTTCTTTTATCTGTTTATCTGATTGGTTATTTATCTATTTGTGATTAGTTGTTTGCTTTTTTCCATCTTGGTCTGCAGGATCTTTGTGTTATGTGTGAATGTTCAAGTAGTTAAACTGATAAAAATCTTCACCAACGAGAGAAATTTTAATACAGATCTTGACTAAATAGTTATTTTTGATAGATAGATTTATATAAAAAATGTACAGAGCCTGTAAGGTGACATGGTGATTAATATATTAATATATTAAGCTTAGTTACTATATTGAAGTCACAAATTACTATACTGAGGTCACAAATTACCATATGGAGGCCACAATTTACTACACTGAGGGCACAGATTACTATACTGAGGCCACAAAATACTATACTGAGGTCACAAATTACTATACTGAGGTCACACATTACTATACTGAGGGCACAGATTACTATACTGAGACCACAAATTACTATATTGAGGCCACAAATAAATAAAAGTCATGCAACTAATCAATTACTAAGTTGCCAATTGATCTCTACAAGTTCTCCAGCACATTTTGCTCCAAGCCTCCTCCCTACGAAACACACGCGGCTAGCCCTTCACAATAAGAGTCCTGGCCAGAACAACCCAGAGAATAAATGCTAGAGAACTAACACTCTAAAATAAACACTATGAACACGCTACAATATTAAGGACACGAATTAATATACTGAGGCCACGAGTTAAGAATCGCAAGTCGTGGCCTCGAGATATCAATTCGTGGCCTCAATATATTAATTCGTGGCCACGCCTTTTAAAAAAAAATCACCATGTCACCTTAGGGTCTCCGTAAAAACGCGCTTGGAGGTTTAAATAAATATTTAATCACTCAGGTCAGGCTGCAGCAGCGCGGACCTTCAGCCAGACTGCAGCCACATCCGACACGATGGCGTGAATAATAAATAAATAAATTAATAATAATAATAATAATAATATTAGTAGTAGTAATAATAACGTCCTGTCAGAGGTGGATGGCCTACGACTCAGCCGGAGCCGACAGAAGCGGGGAGGCGGCGTGGCTCCTGCAGCAGCAGCGGCACATGCAGCAGCCTAAAGCGGGCTGGAGTCCCGGATACAACCCGGAGAGCAGCTGGAGCGGAGCGATGGTAGGAGCCGGGGCTAGGCTAGGCTAGGCTAGGCTAAGCTAAGCTGCACTATACCGACTTTATATCGCTAAATAACATTCTTTACTGACTTTACCGACGAATGTTACTTAATTATGTTATGTTCTGATTAACGTTGTTGGTAAGTTTGCCTGCCCAAGCTGTAGCGAGCTGTGTCGGTTTGAACAGGCAAGTTAGCTTTAGCACAACAGCTCTTAGCTTCTATCAGCACATTCAAAACATTCACTCAGCGCTCAAAGCTGAGACTTAAACAAACACGTAACGACGCTTTATTACCACTGAATAACGAAGGTGGCTGTATTCCTGAAGTTTCCAAAGTGTTTGTAAATGTATTGCACAACTAAGTTATTCTACACTCTTAAAAGAGAGGGTTCTCCATGGTTCTGTAGTAAAGAGAATGGTTCTGTTTAGAAACGTGTGTCCTATATAGAACCATTTCATGCTTAAATGCTTCTTTGCGTGGTGTTGTTTGTTCTTTTGTTGTTAGAAGCTTTACCCTGTAACAGTACCAGAACCCTTTTGCCCTTTTTGGCGCCACGTAGAACCATTTTCAAAAAGGTTCTGTAGTGAACTATATACAACAAACACGTTCTCTGTCCGTCTGAAGAACCATTTTCACCATAGAAAGAGCTGTTTAGGAATGCAAATGGAACTCATGGTTCTAAACAGAACTAACTGATAAGGAACCTTTTTTAAGAGTTTACCAGCCAACAGCTTTCATTTAATTTATAGTTTGGTCACTATAAATGGTCACTGTTTTAGAGAAAACAAGCTTTTTACATAACCTATGAAAACTTTAGGAGCTTAGAACCTGTAAACTTCTTGTTTAGATGAGGTAAAAACAGCAGAAAAAAGAACCCCCACTTTCAGGTTGGCTGGTGCTGGGCTGGATGTATTGATGAAATATAAATATATACTTTCTACACATATCTCAGTATCAGATGAGTATTGCTAGTCTAAAATAATATCATATCGCTGCTGTTGGAAGAAAACCTCGTAAAATGGTAACTTTACAGGAGAGAGAAAAACATACTTTACTTTTAATGTAAGTCAATGGAACCAGACGTTTTTCCAAGTAATTTTGGGCTGTTTCTTTTGGTCGATTCTTTGTAAAATTTGCACACAATGTAAAGGACAAAAGGCATTTTCAAATTATGTCAAAAACAGAAAAACGGCAAAAATGGAGATGCAAGGTTTTGTTCCAACAGCAGTGATTTACAACCCCATTTCCAAAAAAGTTGGGACGCTGGGAAAAATGTAAATAAAAACAAAATGCAAAGATGTGCAAATCATTTAAACCCAATATTTCATTGGAAATAGTACAGAGACAACAAATCAAATGCTGAAAAATAAATGCCCATTTTAAATTTGATGCCAACAACACGTTCCAAAACAGTTGTGACAGAGGCAACAAAAGGCTTGTAAAGTTGTGTAATGCTAAAAAAACACCTGGTGGTTAATTGGCAACAGGTCAGTAACATGGTTGGGTATAAAAAGCATCTCAGAGAGGCTGAGTCTTTCAGAAGTAAACCACTGTGAAAGACTGCATGATCAAATAGTGCAAAGAAAACAGCAAAGAACTTTTGCTTTTCATCATCTACGCTATGTAATATCATTAAAATATTCAGAGAATCTGGAGAAATCTCTGTATGTAAGGGACAAAGCCAAGAACCAGTATTTGCTGGCCGTGATCTTTGGGCCCTCAGACAGCACTGCATTAAAAACAGACATGATTCTGTAGTGGAAATCACTGCATGGGCTCAGAAACACTTCTGAAAACCACTGTCTGTGAAAACTGTGGGTCACTGCATCCACAAATGCAAGTTAAAACTCTAAAACACAAAGAAGAAACTGTATATAAACAGGATTCAGAAATGCTGCCACCTTCTCTGGGCCTGAGCTCATTTAAAATGGACTGAGGGGAAGTGGAAAAGTGTCCTGTGGTCCGACAAATCAACATTTGAAATTCTATTTGGAAATCATGGTCACTGTGTCCTGCGGGCTGAAGGCCACTTAGCTTGTTATCAGTGCACAGTCCTAAAGCCAGTATTCATGATGGTATAGGGGGGTATTAGAGCACATGGCATGGGTGACGTGCACATCTGTGAAGGCGCCATTAATGCTGAATGATATATACATGTTTTGGCAACATATGCTGCCATCCAGACAATGTCTTTTTCAGGGAAGGCCTTGATTATTTCAGCAAGACAATGTCAAACCACATTCTGCATGTATTACAACAGCATTGATCCATATTAAATTTATATAAAGATCACTATTGTTGTGTGACAATTATATTGGTATACTGGTATAGACAGTATATCGCCCAGCATTACATATGGGATCTGTTACTTATTGTTAAGTTTTAACAGTATTACTGTAGTATATTTAAATTGTCAGGCTATCGTTAGGGTGGGCGATATGGCAAAAATACCTCAAGGCATTCAGGTAGTGTTGTTTAAGTACTGACAATATCCACAGTATACTCAGAAAAAGCGTATCATGGCATAATTTATTATGATTATGATAAAATATTCTAGTATTGCCCACTTCTAGGCTAACATTACAATTTCCAGTTAATCAAGTAGATGTAGGCTGAATTATGTTTTTGGTTTGCGTTGAACTTGATCTTAAACTGGGATTAGTGACCACTTGTTTAACATATTTTAGAACCATTTAGAACTTCTTCATTTCTAACAATGTACTGCTTTATCACAGGATTCAAATCCATATTGTGGCTATCCACCAAACTATTGGTACCCTCATTCACATACAGCTGGACCCTATGGTAACGCGTACCCATCTGGAGCGGAGGTCAATGGACAAGCGCCGTACAATCCACAGGTACTGTGTGATAAAGCTCTACTCCAGCTATATTAGCTTTCCCACGCTCAGTTAAGATAACAACAGATCAAAAGGCCATGTCTGTCAGAAGGTTTTGTTATTTTGTTAGCATAAAGTGGAGCTGAACTGGATTTCTACTGGATTAAAATCTGGATTATTACTGTCAGACTGTAAAAACTGTGCACACTCTAGATTCATACTGGGTTAAAATCACTCCACAGTTATTACTGTCAGACTAACAACTATGCACACTGCAGATTCACACTGGATTAAAATCACTCCACAATTATTACCGTCAGACTGTAAAAACTACACACCGCAGATTCATACTGGATTAAAATCACTCCACAATTATTACTATCAGACTGTAAAAACTACACACTGCAGATTCATACTGGATTAAAATCACTCCACAATTATTACTGTCAGACTGTAAAAACTACACACACTGCAGATTCATACTGGATTAAAATCACTCCACAGTTATTACTGTCAGACTGTAAAACTACACACACTGCAGATTCATACTGGATTAAAATCGCTCCACAATTATTATCAGACTGTAAAACTACACACACTGCAGATTCATACTGGATTAAAATCACTCCACAGTTATTACTGTCAGACTTTAAAAACTACACACACTAATTGGTTAAATTATATAAGCTCCTCTGGTGAAACTAATCCAGCTCCAGAAGGGCTTTAGCTGAAAGCCTAACTGTGCTGTGACCTTTTCCAGGCGATGTCAGGCTATCCCAACGGGGTGTACAATCCTGGACAGTACTCGGCAAACATGATGCACCCTTCCAATCCGTTCTACTGCAGTGAGCAGATTCCTCCAAGGCAACCACCCCAGTATCACAATCAGCCTTGCCCCGATCGGACCACCGGGAATTCCTCTCAGCCTCCTTATTCTGTGCCACACTGCCAAGGGGTAGGTGCACATATTCAACATACTGTTTAACTGACTCAATGGCACCTTATTATAGAACAGTTTGAAGGTGGTTTTAAATTTGGTTCAAATGTAAAGCAGCCCGATCCATATGAAAATAATGTTTGTAAGCATGTCATTCATCCGGGATTCATAACTGACAGTTCTCTCATTATGTAAAATATGTCTTGGTCTGTTTACATAATGATGTTTGTTGCTGTTTGACCACAGCTGTGAGCGGTGTTTGTGCTTGAGGCGTCCTGAGATCTGTCTTTGTTTATTCCAATTTAAAAATAATGTAACGGATAAAATTAGTGGTGTAACGATGCAGATTTTAAGTCCAACACATTGTGGCTCAGATAAATACAATGTTTATTTCAAAACAAAAGCAAATTAGCATGTCCTTGTGCAAAGTAAGGCTAAAGACCAAAGCTGTTGAACATACTCAGTGCTGCAGACAGATATTGTGCCTGTACAAAAAGCAGCCTCTATGGTATGGTGTGCATTTTGGAACATTCAGACTGAAAATGACTTTGACCTCGTTTAAAAAAAAAATAAAATAAAATAAAAAAAACACCAGTAAAAACATGTCTCGGCTCTCGTTCATCAGGCCAGATAGGTAATTTGAATTGATTCAGAGGAAAAGGTGAAGGCTGTGCATTTGTCTTATTTGTCAACATGGAAAAACAAGGTAAAAAAAAACTGTGTTAAAAAAGTACATTTCTAAAGATAATTCCAAAAAATGGATTCAGGGAATGGCTTTTTACTTACAGTAGGGGGGAGGGGTTTAAAGAAAGTAAAGAGCTAAACTGAGTACTTTGTGTGATTTATGTTCTTTCTCACTAGATTAATCACAGTGTAGTACAACCACAGGTTCAAATGAACTGCACTTAATTATGTCTCTTTCATTTGACAACAATTAACTCATGTGGCATAACTACATTACTCCCTAAAAAACCCAGTTTAGCCATTTAGCATGTTTATTTTTCACACAGTTGCCCAAATAAGACGACTCTGAACGATACAGAATCAGATCTATCAAAATTAGCTGCACCCATATGGGTAGTTCTGCTAATTGACAGTGGCTTCCATGAAAGACTGTACACAAGAGACACTGGGAAGAAAGCAAAGGGGGGGGGGTAGGGTGGGTGGCGGTTTGCCATTAAAAAAAATAATCAGCAAACCATCTGCCATAAACATGTCTCAGCTCTCGTTTATCAGGGCAAATAGGTAGTTTGAAATGGCCTCTGAGAACAAAGTGAAGTCTGTTCTTTTTTTTTTTTAACTTTGCAAGTGAAGCACAATTAAAACTGTAGCTATTTCTGCAAGTGTAACATTAAATCATGTAGATATTGAGTGAGTGTGTAAGCAAGTTAACGCATTGTCAATTTTCCTGAACATATAGTTCACACAAATAAACTATGCGCTGGGCAACATGGAAAAACAATGTGAAAAAATGGTCAAGTTTGTGTATAAATCCTAATTTGTCACATGGTTACCCAAATAAGATGACTCTGAACAATACAAAATTAAATTCATTAGAATTAGCTGCACCCATGTGGATAGCTCTGCTCATTGACAGTGGTTTCCATGAAGGACTGTACACAAGAGACACTGGGAAGAGAGCGAGGGGCGTATCGGCCGTACAGGTTTACTTTTCCAGCGTTCATTTTTTCAGGTTTTCAGTGTATGCCCTAATTTGTCTTTATGTATTTCTCCTGCTTTTCACTCTCTCAGGGTCCTGGATATCCGCCCAGTTCGTACCCACACTATGGAGACGGGTGCCCACCTAACGCCCCGTATCCCGCCCAGCGGCCCCAGCCTGAAGCCTGGCCCCATTCGGGCGGGTACGGACCGACACCCCCTCAGCAGCAGTGGCCGTCTGGCACCCAGCCAGCTCACGGGCCGTACGCTAACCATGCTAACCATGTACGGCCTCCGCATCCTCCACCCTGGCAGGGTCCGGCTCCGCCTCCGTACGAACACAAGGTACCTATCTGTCCAATCACTCATGGCATTCTTGATCAGCTAAGGGTGCGTTTATGTTTGTGATTATCTATCTATATCGGTTTATCTGTCTATATAATTAGTTTTTTCCCCCACACAAAAAAATATGAAATTGTTAGTCACAACCATTTTGAATTAATCCATGAAATGTCAGGGAATAGTCACTTGGTCACTTAGACCCCCTTTATGACAACTTTGGCTTTTGGTGATAGGAAAATGTGATTTTTTTCCTAAAGCTATGAACTTGGAATATGGGATCACAAACAAGATTTTTTATGAATAAATTGAATATTGCAGAATTAAATGTTTTCAGTGATCAAATATTTCAAAAATCACAGCCTATTGGGTCAATTTGACCCCCTTTTATGCATTTTAGGTTAAAAAAGAGACTCTTGTTTGGAAAAAAAAAGGGCTGTAGGGTTTTTATACATTTTATAATTTGAATGACTGTAATTTTGTAGTTTTCTTAGATGCTTGATGGCACTCAGAACTGTATGAGCTTAAACAGGGGGTCCTCAAATGCTATGGTAATGATGGGTTGTATTTGAGTCTGACTGTAATGTCGTTGGTCAAAGCTGTTGTCATTGTGACAATACAAGATGATTCAAAAAGATTCATCTGATTTCAAAATGATTCATTTCCCTTGTAAATCGTTACAGATCAATGCAGTGAACTGTAAATGGTTTAAATTAGCATAAAGTTTATTATGTAATTGTACAAGGTCTCAGTATGAACCTCCTCCAGCTGTACAGACAACATCAACACCATAGTCAAACTCATCCCATACTGGATTGAGCATGTCGGGTGTCGCTGCACTCACGGCTCTTTCAGTGCGATTTCGGAGATCATCCAGTGTTGTGGAACCAACGACGAACACTCTGAGCTGTTGGAGCTTCACTGCCCATGAAAATCACTCTGCACAGTTATGACCGATTCACTCTTATTGATGTGGAGAACGCAGAACGCTTTCTGCTCAGGGGTCTCATCTCCTCTCAGACTGAAGGGAGCCATCTTCCACTGACAGTCATATATATATATACACACACACACACACACACACACATATATGAAGGGAAATTAGTGTTACAATAGCAAGACATAATTGCACATAAAATTGCCGATATTACATAGAAATATAGGCAAGTTATAAAGTATAAATAAGTATGAGAGAGTAGAAATAAAAGTTTTTGGATATTTACAGAGCATTTAAGATGTGTTGTCTTTACAAGAGAACAGGTGTTGCACTAAGTGGTTTGAGGTAGTTTATAACACAACGGGTATAAACATAACTAGGAATATCAGCAGTATTTACAGTCCAAAGTGCGCAGTGAGAGTCATTACAGTAGCAGGTTATGATATATTGCACAGTGTGAATTAACCAGAGAGGTGATGTAGTGATGTGACTCAGCTCAGTTCAGACAGCAGGAGCTCATTACCATCTCTGCAGTGAGGAGACTCATTGTAGACCCTTACAGACATATATGTATATCAGTCAGGTTCTAGATCATCACAGTAAAATTTGTTTAATTTCTTAACAGCGCTGCAGCAAGAAGCAGCACTACAGGCGCATTGACTAAGCGCTAATCCAGTAGGCCAACATAAGTTGCTCTGACTGCCTAGAAGACTCTGTGAAAGTGGAACTAGCTGGACTACTCAACTAACAAAGAGTATACAATTAATAAAGCACACTCACGTAATATCACAGCCCTCTATGCATATAGTAATAAATAAAGAGCACAACTCTGACTGCTGGAGTACGTTTATATGGGCAAAATGTTATAAATATGACAGTCTCAGGCTCAAATGCAGTATCAGTATGCAATACGCACGATCTGTGTAAAAGTCAGTTCATAAATATTGAAATAAATGGAACAACCACTGTATCGTCACAAGTCTGTCTACAATACACCGATCAGGCATAACATTATGACCACCTCTTTGTTTCTACGCTCATTGTCCATTTTATCAGCTCCACTTACTATATAGGTGCACTTTGTAGTTCTACAGTTACAGACTGTAGTCCATCTGTTTCTCTGCATACTTTGTTAGCCCCCTTTTACCCTGTTCTTCAGTGGTCCCATGGACCCTCACAGAGCAGGTACTATTTAGGTGGTGGATCATTCTCAGCACTGCAGTAACACTGACATGGTGGTGGTGTGTTAGTGTGTGTTGCGCTGGTCTGAGTGGATCAGACACAGCAGTGCTGCTGGAGTTTTTAAACACCTCAGTGTCACTGCTGGACTGAGAATAGTCCACCAACCAAAAATATCCAGCCAACAGCGTCCTGTGGGCAGCGTCCTGTGACCACTGATGAAGGACTAGAGGACGACCAACACAAACTGTGCAGCAGCAGATGAGCTATCGTCTCTGACTTTACATCTACAAGGTGGACCGACAAGGTAGGAGAGTCTAATAGAATGGACAGTGAGTGGACACAGTGTTTAAAAACTCCAGCAGCACTGCTGTGTCTGATCCACTCAGACCAGCATAACACACACTAACACACCACCACCACGTCAGTGTTACTGCAGTGCTGAGAATGATCCACCACCCAAATAGTACCTGCTCTGTGAGGGTCCATGGGGGTCCTGACCACTGAAGAACAGGGTAAAAGGGGGCTAACAAAGTATCAGAGAAACAGATGGACTACAGTCTGTAACTGTAGAACTACAAAGTGCACCTATATAGTAAGTTGAGCTGATAAAATGGACAATGAGCATGGATACAAGGAGGTGGTCAGAATGTTATGCCTGATCGGTGTATTTACCCATATCAGTGTGTGTTAAGCTCGGGTTTGAAGCATGTTGTTCGTGTCTGTTCATGTTGTTCAACTTTCAAGCAGCAGACATCGTGACTCCAGTAGACACGCTCATCGAAACGTGTGGACAGGCTAAAGATAACTCGGGTCAGATAGGGTGCTGTTCTCCAGCAGAGGTCATCCCAGTCTTTCATGCCTTTCTTTTACTCTCACACATCGGCAGAGCTTAAGGGAACTCCAGCTTAGAGAAAGCACATACCAGCTGACCCTTAGTGACCGTCTGTGACGTCCTAAAGCTGGTTATATAATAGAGCTGAGCTCCACCATTCTTACACTCAGAGACTTTTCACATTTACTTGCGCAGGACATTCAACTCTCAGCCTACAGTTTACTCAGTTACAAAACAGAGTCACATGGTGGTTTGAGTTGACCTTGAAATCAAAACAGTTAATTCATGTATGTGGCTTTATTAGGCATGATGTGTCTTTTAAAAGACAAAATTCTTGTTTTCTCTCATTAAAATGTGACTTTTGCCCCTCCTCTAAACCACTCACCATGCAGCAGTGGGTGGAGCACAAGTAAATTAATTGCTAGTGTTGTTTTACCTCAATAAGTGTCTCTACAGCAAAACATTTCACATCAGACCCCTCTGAACAACTTTGTTTACAGCTCAACCACTGAGATATCCTGATATTTTGGTGGAATTCTCCCTTGAGTGTGGTAAACATGGATATGTGTACTAGTATTTGTTACTATTTGAAAAAATCCCAATAGTCTATATTATTGTCCATGGGAGGGGGCTGTGTGGGGGGTTCTTATTCCTATTAAATTATTTAATACAATAATGGTACACAAATGTTTTGATGCATGTTTATTTGGTCACTTCCCATGTACAGTAAAGGAAACATGAACATCAGTATAGTATTGAAATGTTTTCAAACTTTTCCCTTAGCTGACTCAGCAAGAGGCACCGCAAGGACTAACTGATGAATAATCAATATCTAGTTGTGGTTTTTTTTTGTTGTTTTGGTCGTTCATTTAATCTCAGTCTCTTAATCGGTTTCTCACGGTAATGCAGCAGAACTTTGCTAGCTAGCTAAATATTAGCTCGGCTCAAGTCAGTTAGTCATCATTTGTTCATTCATATATCTGCATCGATCTATATCTATTTATGTATCTATATAATTTATTTATTCTTTCCCCCCACAAATAAAATATGAAACTGACAGTCAAAACCATTTTGGATTAATCCATGGAATATTAAGAAATAAAATATTGTTGTTAACAAAATTGTATAAAAAATTCCGTAGGAATTCCATAGGAAGCACAAAGTCATTTAGACCCCCTTTATGATGATTTCAGCTGGTGGTACAAAAATGTTATTTTTTTTCCCGAAGCTGTGACCTTCAAATATGAGGCACACAAACAAGATATTTAAGGAATACATGGAATATTAAGGAATTAAATATTTTTAATGATAAAATCGTCCAAAAATCACAGCCTGTTGGGTCAATTTGACCCCTAGGTGAAAAAGAGACTCTTGTAAAAACAAGAAGTGCTATAGGGTGTGAGAAATAGACTGCAAATTATTTGGTACCTAAAGAATTCAAATTTTATAATTTGAGTAACTATAATTTTGTAGTTTTCTTTGATGCCTGATGGCACTCAAGCCTGCTTGAGCTTAAACAGGGGGTTCCTTAAACGATTCAAAAATGGTGGGTTGTATCTGAGTCAAGTTGGTCAGAGCTGTTGTCATTGTGACGATATACTCGTCCGAGCTTTACTCTCACGCTGACATCACACAGTAGACAAATGCTAAACCTCTGCTTCCTATTGATCAGGATGTATATATTTTCATAAGGAATAACAGCTAATAGCAGTAATATATGATGTTGGGACAGAAAAGTAGCTCAAATGCCGTCCCCTGTATTAAATTAATCACTAACACGAACTGTGCTACCTTTGATCTTCAAGCAGGAACCTCCGTATCCCGGTCCACCTCACCTGCATCCCCGAAACCAGCCCGCGGGCCCCAAACCTCGGCCGAACACCCCGAACCCTGGCCAGAACAAACCTGCTGAGTTCAGCGCTCCTCCTCAGATGTACAACAGAGCGAAGGGTGGTGCTGAACCTAAACCAGCTCCGAACGACCCGCCCCTGGCAGGCTCCGCCCCTGCCACGCCCATCGATAACCCCAGCCTGGCTCGAGTCCAGCAGGTCCTGGCCAGAGTCCAGCTGCTCCAGGAGGACGTGGACGAGTTTGTGGGCAAAAAGACGGACAAAAGCTACCGCTGCCTGGAGGAGCTGCTGACCAAAGAGCTGCTGGAGCTGGACTCTGTGGAAACCAACGGCCAGGACAGTGTCCGGCACGCTCGGAAGGAGGCTGTGCAGAGGATCCAGGCCATCCTGGACCGCCTGGAGAAGAAGGCCTTCTAGTCCTAGTGCCACATCATAAAGGTTCAGAGGTGGAGGGTTCGATTGGCACTTATATCGTTTTTGGTTTGGGTTTTGTTTGTTTATTTGAGATCGGGTGTAGGTTCGTTTTCTCTGAGTTGCCAGTACGTTTCTGTAAACCAGTTTCTGTTTCACAAAGCAGGACTTTGTGTTCGTTTAACCAGGTCTAAAGGAATTTGTCACCATTTCCAGCTTAATCGCCATCCAGCGCATTCAGCCAATTACTGTGGATGGTTTTTTTGACAATTTGGACCTGGTAGAAGAACAGAAACATTGACTTCTGTTTTGCTAAGTGGAGGGAAATGGATTTTATTATTGGGAAATTATTATTATCCTTGTTACTGTTGAAAATGCTGGTGTATTCCTTTAGTCAAGCCTGTCCACTAGGAAAAGAGCTAAGGGTCAGTCCTATTAGACGATCATAAACTTCTGGCTTAAGTTACCCAGTTAATTCAAAACTCCTGCTTTGTTAAACACACTTCGAGACATGGATTAAGCCTAGTCTTAGGCCGAGTCGTAATCCAGGTGGTGATTCACCATTGAAACTCTTAGGATAAGTAGATGTACTTTATTGAATCAATACTGCATCCAATTTTTAGGCTTAGTCTAAGTCTGGAAAACTGGCCCTGTTAGTTTTTGTCTATTTGTTTCTTGCAGGTAAACAGGTTTTTACAGCTGTCCGTTAAAAAGCAAACGCTACCGTACTCCGTGCCATAAACAAGAGCTCAGTTCACTTAACTGTAGTGTCAGTTTGATGTCTGTCTACAGTTTATTTGATCATTTAATGTACATTTAACTTGGCTAAACAGTTGTTAGCGGTATCAACAGTGTCCACTGAGTCATGTAGTCACAACAAAGCTACACTGAACAAACCCATCACACTCGTATGTTGTAGTTTGCATGCATATTTTATGGTTTTCTCACTCACTGCCATGTCAGAGTATTGTGGTTGATAGGAAACAGCTTAGTTCAGGGGTGGGGAGCTCCAGTGCTGGAGGGCCGGTTTCTTGCACCGTTTGCTGATTTTCCTCCTCAGACACGTGTGATTTTACTCCCTGGTTAACTACCAGGTTTAGCTGGCGTGCGAGAGAGGAGAAATGACCAAACTCTGCTGGACTGCAGCCCTCAGTTCCCCATCCCTGCCTTAGTTGATGAACGAGGAAAGGTCAGCTCTGTGTCTAATTATACCAACACACAAAACATCAGCGCCACGTCCTCATCGGGAATATAAATATAAAATAAAATATTTCACTATACTTAGTGCCAATATTAGGCTGTGTTAGTTAGACCACTTTCAGGATGAGTGGGTGCCCGCAGTGTCTGTAGCTTACATCTGAAAGTGTTCACACCACAACTTCCACTAAATATGCGCATAATTAGATAGTTAAGATGTAAACAGAGTCATTCAGAGTGGTTTGGTGTGAAACGCTCTGTTTTAGAGAAACTTACCGAGTCAGAATTCTTGAAACTTTTTTTTTCTTCACAGATTTTCCACTATTTTCCCATCATCAACATATTTAAAAGCTCAGAAGACTCGTGTAGGTTCACTGGTGGTTCTGGATAGTAAATAAAATGTCTGTATTTGTGTTGTAGTCATGGCGACCCCTGGTTCCTATCACCACCACTGTAAAGGCATCTGAACCATTTCACACCAAACCACTCTGAGTGACTCTGATTACATCTCAGTGTTTGAACTGTGCCCATTTAAGAGGTGACGGTACGTGTCCACTTGCAGCTTCGCCCCGCCGCATCCTGTTCATTTCACTGGCGAGCCCAGCGAAAAAGATCAGCTGGTTTCAACTGCATGCAAATGAATTCGCCCACCGTAATGCGTTTATCCAATCAGGCAATGGAGGCCTGATCTTCATCACAGACGACAAACATAACTTTCTTCGAGAGTAGAGAGCGGAAACTACAGCCGTCTTTCTTGCCTTTGAATGACGGTCTTATATAATGATGAAAACATCTGCTTTTATACAGAACTTTTGACTGAAGATTAGGAGGGATGATGCTTGATTGGATAAAGTTCATGCGGTTCGAGCAAGAAGTTAAAATTTAATCATACAGAGCTTCACCTGGTAAGTTAACTACCGTAATAGTGAGCTTGAAAAAGCTAGTTAACCCTATCTTGTGTAAACGATAGGGTTACTCTTGCATAACGATATAGAAACGGCCACCAGCGGCCAGCAGAGAAGTCCAGTGCGACGGAATGTGGTGAGGAAAAGTGCAAGTGGACGTGTACCGTGAGACTGTTTGGCTGAACTGTCACTTCATCTGGCTCAGTGAGAAACCCTGCAGTCCTCCAGCCCGTTGCCTCATTAGGGGGCGCTCAAACATTGCCTTCTTTGAACATTGCATACTTAAAGAAGCAGGATGCACCGTTTGATTGACAGGTAATCAGGAGACGACGATTTGAGAGAACGTGAAAGAGCGAGACGATCAATAAGCATTTTAAAGCTGAGGTATTAAACAGATCAAACGGTGGGGATGTTGTGCGGCTCCAAAACAGGCTAAACTAGCTTTTCCTCCATGGGTGACCAGAGAGGGGCTGTCCTCGGTATTGACTGGTCAGCTGTGGATGACGTATGAGGCTTTCTCATCAGCTTAGCTTTAACACAGAGTGCTTTTCAGTCATGGTGGGCGTCGTTCCAACGGCAGCAATGACAGAAGGCATGACTGGGGCACCTTCGCCATCGTTTACGTGAACAAATCCACTCTGGAGTCTGTTGTGCGTTCGCTTTCATGAATCTCATTGGCTGTTGATCTTTCTTACTCTGTTGAGTCATCAAGAACTTAGTTTAAACTTTTTGGGCTGCACAAAATGGACTAAATTGTTCTTATTGTGATTATCGTGCTGCATATTTGCGAGTGCAGTACAGGCTGCGTGTATTAAACGCATTGGTGAGTCAGTAATGCGACATAGTTTTAACCAGCCTTTGTTGGATTCAATAAACACCTCCTTTGTCAAAACAACCCTGGACACTCCTATTGAGCTGTGATTGGTCAGGATGCTCACGGCACACTGTGATTGGTTAAAGTAGCCTCATACATAATCAACAAAGGCTATTTTCGCAATAATGATTAGGAAAAGGTTCATTGTGCAGCCCTGTTAGCTAATCTCGTCATCATTCTAATAGTATTGTATTCATGACTATATTATTACTAAGCTTAATTAAAGCTGCACTATGTAAGATTTTGTTGCTACGACTGTGTTAGGAGAAATAGTCACACCACGTCGTACGTCTTTGTGTTTATGTATTAACGTCACACGCACAGGCTCAAAAAGAAGGTCCGGCTCGATGTTTAGGCCTCTCAAAATCAATATTATACTGATGAGGATGTGATGACAATAGTAATAATTCACTCACATCCTCGGACGCGTCTTTTACCAAGTTTAGACCGAGTTCTCTTCTCGGGGAAGAGGACTGAAGCACAACCCACACTACAAAGTGTTTTGCGTGCAGTTACACTGTTCCACCACAGAGGTCTCCAAATCCCCAAAGCTTACATAGTGTAGCTTTAACGACAGCCCTGTGAAATAAGTCCTCAGCGCTATGAGCTGTTTCTGTTTTCGTCTCGCTGCTCCACCTTATGCTTCCAAAGCTCCACGAACACACTCAGCACATTTTAGTACACCAGAAGCAATACTAACGGGCCTTTTTACGAAGGTTTACACAGCCTTGGACATTTTATTTCTCCTGTTTTGTTGTTTATGGGGTTGTTTCTTTTCTCTTGTTTTGTTTTGTTTTGTTTTGTTTGTTAGCTTTTTGAACAGTTTCTCTTCGTGTTAGTGTGAAATCAGTGAAGCCAACGTCCTGTCTGATCTGTCGGCCTCAAAACGGTGTTTACAAAAGGCCTTTTTTTAAACAAAATGTACAATTTGTATTTAATTAATCTGAGGGAGCATGGACAGGGAGGACTGGTCACCTTCAGTACTTCCTAAATTGAAGAAAAAAAAAGAAAATAATAATTTTAACGCCACTATATTTAATACTTTGCACCAAAGTCACTTTCACCCTGGACCATTCAACAGGTCTTCCTCCAGTCACGAAGGATGTTTTTTTTAGGGGAAAAATAAATTGTGCCATGTTATCGGCAGGTGCTTTTCGTATATGATGATAAAGTATAATATACTGAAGTAACAATAAGTTGAAGGTTTCAAAACTATTGTTCTCTGCATGTGATTAAGTCTGATTAATTTGTTGTCTGTGTTCTCTCCCCCCGCCCCCCGCCCTCTGTACAATCTCATTATATAAACCAGAAATTGTATATTAGATGAAGCTTTACAAAAAAAGGAGAGTATATTTGTATAACTTGTACATAGAGAACATATGAAAAACAAAATAGGACCAAAACCTGCTTGCTGAGGTTTCCAGTGTAATGCATGTTTTTGAACACAAGAGGGGGCTGTTTTCCCTCAACTAATGATGGTAGGCTGATCACAATAAAAAAATTGAACATTGAAATAACTGGTGTGGACTGTTTATTTATATATATATATATATATATAATGTATGTATGTATGTATGTATATATGTGTGTGTGTGTGTGTGTGTGTGTGTGTGTGTGTGTGTGTGTGTGCGGGTGTGGGTGTGGGCAGCGTCCTGTGACCACTCATGAAGGACTAGAGGATGACCAACACAAACTGTGCAGCAGCAGCAGATGAGCTATCGTCTGACTTTACATCTACAAGGTGGACTGATAAGGTAGGAGTGTCTAATAGAGTGGACAGTGAGTGGACACAGTGTTTAAAAACTCCAGCAGCACTGCTGTGTCTGATCTACTCGTACCAGCACAACACACACTAACACACCACCACCATGTCAGTGTCACTGCAGTGCTGAGAATGCTCCACCACCCAAGTAGTACCTGCTCTGTGAGGGTCCATGGGGGTCCTGACCACTGAGGAACAGGGTAAAAGGGGGCTAACAAAGTATCAGAGAAACAGATGGACTACAGTCTGTAATTGTAGAACTGCAGAGTGAAACTATATGGTCAGTGGAGCTGATAAAATGGACAGTGTGTAGAAACAAGAAGTTTTTAATATATTTGTGTTATTTAGATTGTTTATGTAATTTGCTTTCATCTAGATGTTCCTTCTGCCCACAGCCATTGGACATTTTATTAGAAACATCTATGACTGGCTACAACCCTGCTGGGGGTTTTACTGTGTCACTGCTAGGTCTACCACCCCAAAATGTCCAAGAGTGGCTCTGTGGTCAGAAACTGACCATTGGCTTGCCCAAAGTGTGCATTAACAGATGGAATAGAGTCTATTAGTCCGTGAGCTGGTACTTCAAGGGGGGCGTTGGCCGTTTTTATTTATTTATTTATTCATTTTTAACAATATGCAGAAATTTAACCAAGCCGACAGCTTTAAATATGACAAATGTTGTTTTTGTGATAATCACTTCTGTTCAAAATCACTTCAATGCAATAAAAAAAAGCCAAGCCCAAAATGGCAGAACAGCTTTTAATGGTCTAAACAACAAATCATTAAACAAACAGATGCAGTAAGTCAGAGTGGGAGAGCTTTTCGCTTTGATTTCCTTAAATGCTGAAGTTTTGAGGATGAACTTTCAGACGGCCTTTTACGGATAGAGGAGTCAGTGTTGATCCACTCAGCATTGAAAAACAATGCAGAGCCAGTCAGTGTTTAATGTGAGACAGAATGAGACAAAACCCTCAGTAAAAACCATTATATTTTCGGGTTTGGCCTATTTTTCCACACATGAGTGTGTTTGCAAAAATAAAGCATTAAAAATATCTAAATATCCATATGAAAATTATGTATCACTGCTGTCGGGACAAAACCTTGTATCTCCATTTTTATCATTTTTAGACCTAGTTTGAAAAAGGCAGTTGCCCTTTTTGTTGCGTCAACATTTCTGATGAATGGACCAACAGAAACTGTTGTATTTCTCCATGTACTTCCATTAAAAGTTGAAAATGTTTTTATTTGTCCTGTAAAGTTTTTTAAAGTTTAAAGCTTTTTGGAGATTTAAGGTTTTGGTTCCGACAGCAACAATTATATCCCAAATGTATTTATCATTATTTTTGCAATGCATGAAAATGGCCCAAAATCTGCTTGTTAAACATATATTTGAAATGCATTTATTTGTTATTATATTATTTAAGTAAGGTTACAGATATAACTAAATGGAATTGCTGTGATCTCCATTGTACTTTGCATTAACATATAACGTATATTTGTAGTAAGACACACAAAAAGTACTTCAAATAAACAAGATATCAGATCATAACTGCATTTTCACAGAGTATCAATACCTACAACACTCGTTTTGGTCATGTTAAAGGTTCATTTGATCATATTTAAAATGAAGATACTGGAACACAAATTCATTTCTAAAGGGATCAGACAGTGAAGAGCATCAGACAGTATTTTGGATATTTTTATATTTTTAAATACATTTGATAAACACATTTACATACATTTATTTTGTACGGTACATTTATATGTGTAATGTCTCCTCATACGTTTTAAAGTAAATGTATTTTTAAAATATAATTGGTTAAAATGGCAAAATATTCTGAAATACATTTTAGTGTTTGGAATGTATTTCAGCATCTACTGCAATGTATTTAACATGTATATTAAATATATAAAAATACATGTCCTTTTTTTTCATATCTCTGCTGTTGGAAAAAAACCCTGTATCTCCATTTTTGTAATTTTTCAGTTTTTGACATAATTTTAAAATTCCTGTTGTCCTTTAGGCTACGTTCACATTACCAGGCTGAAGTGGCACAAAGCCGATTTTTTGGCCTAATGTGACTCAGATCTGATGTTTTCAGGGCTGTGTGGATACAAATCTGATCTTTTCAAATCCGACCTGAGCCACTTTCATATGTGGTCCTAGATCGAAAACGTATCCGATGTGGGGCCATGTGACCTTAATGTGACGCTCAGATCTGAATTCATGTGCTTTTTCTCCACTGCACGTGCACCATCATTCAGCGTTACCATGGCAGCAGCACCGAACAGAAGTTAAAGCCTGTAAACGGTGGAAAAGCAGCTCATCTCACCTTTTTCTCCTTCGTCTCGCTCTAATAACGAAGCTGAGAGCTGATCAGAGTTAATTATCTTCTCAGCGAAGCTCGTTCTGCTCGCTAGTTTGTGCTGATGATGAACGGGATTCATTCACGTGACGTTACTGAGTAGGATGTGAGCATGAGGGTCATTTCAGGACGCCGGTTCGTCACATTAATGACAGATTTGAGTCACTTACCTAAACGAGTGTGAACCATCGTGTCAGAGAGATCGGATTTGAGCAAAATCTGATTTAAGAAACGAGGCTTGTAATGTGAACTTAGCCTTACATTGTGTGTAAATTTCATGATGAATGGACTAAAAGAAACGACCCAAAATGACTTGGAAAAAAGTCTGGTTCCATTGACTTACTTTAAAAGTAAATAGTTAATAGTAATAGTAAAGTAAGTATGTTGTTTCCTTCTCCTGTAAAGTTACCATTAATAGGAGGTTTTCTTCCGACAACAGTGATATGAGTATTTAGGCTGAGCTCAGTGACTGGACTAGCAAAATGCATGACCAATCTAACCGACATGGCTAGTTGTGTTTAGACAGAGTAGCTAAATTCTAATAAACAGGTATTCTAGGTGCCAGTGATGTCCTTTTTTTGTCCCCTCAGATCTGCTACTTGACCAGTGAACCTCACATGAAGTCACAGCAATCTAGGTCAGCGGCTCTCGTCTGCTGCTGTCTGGATTTAGAAGTGCGATCCAGCCTGCTGCTCACAGAGATTCCGGTCAAATATCCAACCAGCTGAAAGACACCAGCAAATCAAAAACTCACTGTTTCTGCGTGTCTTTATACCTAAAATTGAGCAATTAAAGCGGAATTCTACTGATTGTTCAGAAATATCTGCATAATTAAGTTGTTAATATGTAAACAGTCATTCAGAGTGGTTTGGTGTGTAGGTTCACTGGTGGTTTTGGATAGTAAATAAAATGTCTATGTCTGTTTTGTAGTCATGGCGACCCCTGGTTCCTATCACCACCACTGTAAGGAAATCTGAACCATTTCATACCAAACCACTCTGAATGGCTCTGTTTACAGCTCATGCACTGAATTAGGCAGGAATTTTGAAAAATGGGCACCCATCCATAATTACAGAGAAGATTTATGACCTGTAGGCATTACATTGTATGTGTGAATGGTCTGCTTTGAATGTGCAGGCCAAGCATTGCTGATACATGTCCAAGTCCACGCGTCCCAAAATAGCCCTGTGTAACTCAGCCTTCTGAGCCCAGTTAGAGAACGAATGAATTGACAGCTTTGAAATCAGCGGAGCTCTTCACTACGACGGCTCTGACGCCTTCTGCCCGTCTGAAATCGAGACACAGCTGCTCAAATTTCATAACGAAAGCTTGGCGTGTTCGTCCATAAAACTGCCCGACAAATGTCTTACAGGACAAGATACTCCGAAAGGCGGAATGACTCCCGTTCCTCTAAAGTAGAGGTTGACTTCACCTCGCCCGGTTTGGCAGTGATGGAGGTTGAGCGGCTCCTCTTCTCCGGGAGAGCCATCAACAGCCCAGCCAATGAAGTCTGGCCGAGACTTTATATAGGAGACATGTAAGTGACATGAAGTCTCTCTGCAAACATGCGCCGATGAGCCAAAGCATTATGATCACCTGCTTAATATGCTGCTGGTCCTCCACGTCCTACCAAAACAGCTCCGACTCACCGAGGCATGGATTCTACAAAACCTCTGAAGGTTCCCTGCAGTTACCCATGCCAAGATGTTAGCAGCAGATCCTTTAAGTCTTGTAAGTTGTGAGGTGGAACTGAGATCTGGGAAATTTGGAGGCCAGGACAGCACCCTGATCGTGTTCCTCAAACCAGGGCAACACCCTGATCATGTTCCTCAAACCAGGGCAACACCCTGATCATGTTCCTCAAACCATTCCTGATCAATGTGTGGCGGGGTGCATTATTCTGCTGAAAGAGGCCACTGCCATTGGGCGAATACCATCGGCATGAAGGGCTGTACCTGATCCACAACCATGTTTAGGTAGGTTGCTTGGGTCAAACTGATGTCCAGATGAATGCTGGACCCTGGGTTCCCCAGCAGAACCCTTCCCAGAGCGTCACACTTCCTCCACCAGCTTGTCTTCTTTTCTTCAGTGCATCCTGGTGCCATCATTTCCCCAGGTAAACGGCACCCATGTACCTAGCTGTCCACTTGATGTAAGAGAAAATGGGACTCAGATCAGGCGACCTTCTTCCATTGCTCCAAGGTCCAGTTCAGTGTCCACTGCAGGTGCTTTTGATGGTTGACAGTCAGTAGGTACTCACCACTGCTGACCAGGAGCACCCTACAGGCCTTGCCATTTCGAAGATGTTCTGACCCAGTCATTTGACTTTAATGATCTGGCCCCTTGTCAAAGTCACGCCTGCCCATTTCTTCTGAATCCAACACATCGACTACGAGAACCGGCTGTTCGCTTACCGTCTACTACATTGTAGAACTTGATATGCGTCGCTGTTATGAAATAATCAATATTATTCACTTCATCTGTGAGTGGTCATAATATTTTGGCTCAGCGGTGTATATGACGCCCTAGGACCAAAACCAAAATGGGTTTGATTAACAAAACTGTAAGTGAGCTAGATTTTCAGCTTCGTACGTTTACAAGTGTTTTTGTTGTGTCCAAATGCTGTTTATTTATTGTGGCAGTTGTACAGAATAAGTTGATATGATGAAAGCTGCAGTTGTGCATTTTTATGTCTTTTTTTTTTATTGCAGGAGAGTCTTAACCCCTCCGCTTTCACCCCTTATTGCTCACTAGCAGCTCAACACAGAGCCACCACATTTTCACACACAGACAGACAACAGTGTCCTAGTGGGGACAAAATCTTTTATTTGATTATAATATTTAAAATATTAATCAGTTCTCATTATGCCAGTGGATTGGCCACTAGGGTTCAGAAAAGAGCTACTTTTTAGCAACATTCTTGTGTTTGTATATTACTTTTTGCAGGGATTTTGCTGAGAACCGCTCAGAGCTGCGCAGACGCAACTTCACTCACGTCCTGAACTGCGCCCATAGCTCCAGGAGAGGTGCCGAGTTTTATGACGGAATGGGCATCACATATCTGGGCATCGATGCCCATGACTCGCCCGCCTACGACATGACCGTCAACTTCGACACCGCATCAGAGTTCATTCACAATGCACTCAGAGGAGGAGGTGAGAAACCTGTACCATTTTAAAGCAATGTTTTAGCGTAAAAGTCGAATGTACAGTTTCCCATCCTCAACCCAAGTATCCATGTTTGGTAGGCAATTTCCTTAGTTTTCACTGAAGCTATGAGGCTAGAAAAGCAATAGAAGCTTAAACACCATCAATTAGCATCAGGCAAAACTTAACAACTCAACACAGTTTTAGGCGAGTGTGTGGTGGATAACTCATCTACCAGTGGTGAACTGTGACTGAGTGGTGCTTGAATGTTTGCGAACCCTTTAGAATTTTCTATATTTCTGCACAGGTTTGACCTAAAACTTCATCAGATTTTCACACAACTCCTAAAGGTAGATAAAGAGAACCAAATTAAACAAATGAGACAAAAATATTAGCCTTGGTCATTTATTTATTGAGGGAAATGATCCAATATTACAGATCTGTGAGTGGCAAAAGTGTGTGAACCTTTAGGATTAGCAGATAATTTGAAGGTGAAATTAGAGTCTGGTGTTTTCAATCAATGGGACCATCCCCCAAATCAGGTGTGAATGACCACCCTGTTTTATTTAAAGAAATGTTAATGCTCATTAGGCAGGGTTGCAAGGAGAAGGCGCTGCTCCCCAAAAAGAGCATTGATGCCCATCAGTTTGCTAAAGATAACATGGATATGCCAGAAGGCTGTTGGAACACTTTTGTGGACAGTTGACACCAAAATAGATGGTTTTGGTTTAAATTAGAAGTGTTATGTTTTCCAGCATAAAAAGCTTATCCCATCTGTGAAACATGGTGGTGGTAGTATCACGGTTTGGGCCTGTTTTGCTGTATCTGGGCCAGGACGGGTTGATGGAACAATGAACTCTGAATTTTACCAGCAAATTCTAAAGGAAAATATCAGGACATCTGTCTGTGAGCTGAAACCAAAGACAACACATGCAGCAAGACAACAACTAACTTGCTTAGACTACGTTTTTTACACATATCAGTGACATATCTAGAATGTCCTGAAGGTCAAGAGTGATGCTTTTTCTTACAAATTTGGTCCCATTGTAAAAATCAAAACATGAGTTTGATTCCTCTGTCAGTTCCTAATTACATTGATAGTTAATCAAATATATAAGGCCCTTAATTCAGTTCTTGAAGTCCTAACCAATGGGAAAGCTTGGCTGTACCTAAATACCACAGAGATAAACATTCTTATTAGGTAATTGAATAATAATCAGTTCAGCCCTTTTGTTTACAACCAAAACTTAACAATGCTGGTTAACACAATGCTAATTGGTGCCCATAAGTTTGCATGACTTGTTAGCTAACCTCGTAGCTTCGGCACAGAACTAACACCAAACATGTCTTGGCTGATGAACTAAGGAGGTAAGGAGGGGGAGGGGGAACTGGGGAGGGGGGTAAATTTGAGACGGTCTATATTTGCAAAAAACATTGATCTTTCTCTCATTGTAGGTAAAATCCTGGTGCACTGTCATGTTGGCGTTAGCCGCTCGGCCACTATCGTCTTAGCCTATCTGATGCTGAAACACAACATGACCCTGGTGGAGGCGATTAACACAGTTAAGGAGGGAAGAGGAATCATACCCAACAGAGGCTTCCTCAGGCAGCTCATTGACCTTCATGTTAAACTGTACGGCTACAGAACATGAAGACTTCTGCTACAGCTAACAACCTCCGTTAGCACTGAATGCTCAAGGTTCAATGAGAAAGTTCATTTATATTGTCTCTGGAAACAGATCAGAGTGAATGTAGTGTGATTTTGACCATTAAAGGGAAATTTTTCACATTTTTCTGCACGACTAAAAGGTTAATATGTAAACAGAGTGGTTCAGAGTCGTTCAGAGTGGTTTGGTGTGAAACGCTCCGTTCTAGAGAAACTTACCGACTTACTTTCACAGTGGTGGTGATAGGAACCAGACGTCCACCTCTAAAAGCTCCCTCACAGAAAGTTACTACATGAAATGGCTTTGCTGCCAAAGTCCGTATAGGAAAGTCTGTCCACTCAACGGCCATCTTGGCAACACCGCTGGGTTATTTCCTCTCAGACTCCTCTCGTTTTGAATAGGGTGAGATCTATAAAACGGAAACTGAAAGTGTTTTGGTGTCTGCTTCCAGAGTTCCTGAGACCCGGACGCTTCCTTTTCGTATACCCCAGCCGCCCTTGCAGTCCACTGCCCAACCTAAGAACATTCAGTCTGTGTTCTCCTGCGTCTGGACAGTGTTGTACCTCAGGTTTTGTTTCCGTTCCTGTTTCTGCTAGAATGTTTGTGCCTGTTAACGTTACTGTTTTTGTGCCCATTTCTAGATTTGTATCTGTCCCCATTCCTGTCACTATCCCTGTCCCGGTCCCAGTTACTGTCATGGTTTCCGTCCCTCTTTCTGTTGTCCAGTCCCATGCCCAGTTTAGTTTATGGTCCCAGTCTGGGGTCCTGTCCCCTGTCTAGTTTCCTGTTTTTTGATCGTTTTAAAGACTCCTCTCTTTTTATGAATTGGGAGAGACCTATAAAATGGAAACTAAAAGCCACAATGTTCTAAATACACAGTTTAAACCACTAACATAATCTTACAACAACAGCATAAATAGTTTGTTGCGTTTAACAAACCAAAACCTGATTTTTCAGCTTGTTCTGGCTTTTCCTGCTTGCGGCTTAAACAGCATTTGGCTCATTTCCCCTGTAAACCGATGTCATATTTCACATCATGAGCTTTCCATTTATATTTCAACCACTGACCGTCTCCTCTTTTACAATGCCTCTGGTGCTGCCCAGAGCCTGACCGGCAGTAACATTATGCAGACCAGCCCACCCCAAACCCAAACTGTCACCTTCTTATAAAAAAGCCAGCAGCAAATCCAGTAACTTGTCTGAAAGTTGCTAATAGCTTGTTACAACCTACTTAACTGCTAGCTTAGCAGAGGAAGGCTCGCTAACTGTATTCAGATTCAGCAAAGTTTTCCATAAAGATAAATTCATAGAGATAAAATGAAATCTGGAGAAGTATTTTACCTTTGATGTGACATCATGATGACAGTTACTGTAAACTAAGGCTAAAACTACAATTTAAAACTACAAAGATTTCAGACTGTAGTCCATCTGTTTCTCTGCATACTTTGTTAGCCCCCTTTTACCCTGTTCTTCAGTGGTCAGGACCCCCATGGACCCTCACAGAGCAGGTACTATTTGGGTGGTGGATCATTCTCAGCACTGCAGTAACACTGACGTGGTGGTGGTGTGTTAGTGTGTGTTGTGCTGGTCTGAGTGGATCAGACACAGCAGTGCTGCTGGAGTTTTAAACACCTCAGTGTCGCTGCTGGACTGAGAATAGTCCACCAACCAAAAATATCCAGCCAACAGCGTCCTGTGGGCAGCGTCCTGTGACCACTGATGAAGGACTAGAGGATGACCAACACAAACTGTGCAGCAGCAGATGAGCTATCGTCTCTGACTTTACATCTACAAGGTGAACCGACAAGGTAGGAGTGTCTAATAGAGTGGACAGTGAGTGGACAGTGTTTAAAAACTCCAGCAGCACTGCTGTGTCTGATCCACTCAGACCAGCGCAGCACACACTAACACACCACCACCACGTCAGTGTCACTGCAGTGCTGAGAATGATCCACCACCCAAATAGTACCTGCTCTGTGAGGGTCCATGGGGGTCCTGACCACTGAAGAACAGGGTAAAAGGGGGCTAACAAAGTATCAGAGAAACAGATGGACTACAGTCTGTAACTGTAGAACTACAAAGTGCACCTATATAGTAAGTGGAGCTGATAAAATGGACAATGAGCATAGAAACAATGTTAACGTTATGCCTGATCGGTGTATAAAACTAATGTTAGCTAGCCAAGTTTCTGTCAGCATTTTTATGCTTTTTGTCTCTGCTGTCCATCTTCATATGATTCATGTATCAAAATTGCTGCACTGTAAAAAATGTTACAGCTTTTTTACTATAAGTTCACTGAACTTGTAATGTTAAGTTAACAGAAGAATAATTTGTTTTACGTTTATTAACTTATTATTTGCAGTTCAGTGAAGTTAATATTTCAAGATAACCTGGTTATATACTTTTTTAAGTTTAAAAGCTGGATTATTTTTTAGTGTAATGCTGAAATTAATGCAGTTTTTGTTCATTTTTTTCTGCTTGTTGTGTCAACCAGCCCCAGATTCACACCGCCACACTGAAACATTATAATATCTACCCACTACAAGGCTCATTAACTGACCAGTTCCAATCAATAAACTAGGACAGTACCACTTGAGAAAGGGGCTGTTTTAACCCATAAACTACTGCTCTACTACTATAGACCCGGCTGTAATAGAATAACTACTATAGACCTGATTTACAGTTTGGGCACTCTGCATGTTTATATGTGTGGGATTATATGCTGTTAGCCCAAAGGCCCAAAACGTTAAAAGCCCACTGGAATTTCTCCCAGCTCTCCTGATGACCCACAGTAAATGACCCCTGATGACCACCACTGTAAAGAATCTCTACAATTCATCTCACCAAATCACTCTGAATGACTTTATCTCAACCCCTGAATTATGTAGGAATTAAAAAAAAATTGGTGGAATTTCCCTTTTAATGTGAATTACACTGATGTGTAATGATCAGCTGGTTGCTCTAGAAAGGCCTGGATGCTGGACGGACTGTGAGGATTCACTTTGGACCGGAATACTTGTGAGGCCCGTTAGAAATGACCGCCTCAGTTCTCACTTGTTTGTGTCATTTATAAAACCAATATTAAACCCATGTCTAATAAATAAATTGGTACAGTATCTTTCAGCCGTTCTGTTCAGATTCTCACCGAGTCTCTGTGTGGGAGATTGTGTGAGATACGATTTCTTAAAGGGCCACTCCATCCTATAAAAATATAAATAAAAATATCGACCCGTTAGCACTGTAATCCACCCACCACTGTCTAAGCCTGTTAATCAATCCCCTCATTTCAGTAAACACTCAAATACATGCAGTAGTTAGTTCACATATACATCAAGTACACACATCAACTCACACCAACTTATACACACACACACGTATACACACGCACGTATATTCATGTCAAATACGACATGAATATGAAACATTACATTTTGTTAAACCCTTTCTTACATGATTACATTGAAAACATTCAATCTACATATGTCTGTCTGTCTGTCTGTTGGTCTGTCTGTCTACTCTTTCATCTTTGTCACACTGACAAACACACACATGTGCACACTCACACACACACTTTCACACATCTTGCACCAGCCTCCTAATCCCACTCCTCAGTTGTTTATTATTTTTGATAATTATCTTGGTTATAATTGTTAAAAATGCTAAAAGTTGTAAAAGTTGTTATCCTTTTTCTTTTTTCCTTTTTTTTTTATCTAACTGTATAATAAAATAAAGAAAAAAAGGGGAAAAAAGAGCCACTCCATCCTAAAACTAGCACTTAATTTTTTATTTGTCATGTCATGATGCACTGCAGCCTCATCAGTTTGACAGAAGTCACAGCTTTGTGTCCGTTTCGTGTTTTCATCCATCAGCATTGGCTCACTACAATACCCATCATGCATCACTGTATTGTGAATCCCCCCATGGCAGTAAAGAAGTCCACTGATGTACCAACAGAGAGGATACATGGCTCAACTTGTACTGTATATCATCTTTAGTACCACTGAAATGTGATATTTGGCTTCCTAGCATTAACATTAGGTGTCTGCTAGTTTTTAGCCAGCTATAAAATCTAATCAAACAGCCCAACACCAAAAATCTGCCCCAAAACACTTGTAGGTTTTCCTTCCACCTTCAAGATACATCCTTAAATAGGGAGCTTTCCTTGTTTTTAAACCAGAAGATCTATAGCATTGGGCTGAGATGGCACCACTGTAGGAGGTAAGTATGGATATTTTAACACATTTTTCATTTTTCATACTGTCACTTTAGGGTTATTCAGCGGTTTACATGCATAGTTTCCTTGAAACAGCTCTGTTTTTCCTCTGAATGATAAAACGCCTCAGTATTCCTGGATATTCAGCTCCTTTATAACGCATTTTCTCATCTATAATCACTTCCACCTTCTAGTTTCACTAAAGTAGGGAGGTAGAATTCGGTTTGAGACGCGCCCCGTGTGCGTACAGTTCGCAGCGGATGACGAATGTACGTCGTTGCCTAGCGCCACGCTGCGTTTAATGCGTAGTTACCTAGCAACGCCACGGCAACACAGGCGAGTCAGCGCGGCAGAAGCCTGGGTAAAAGACACTGTAAAGACAGATAATGTCGGTTAGAGGTAAAATTATTTTTCTCTAATATATTTAAACAATTTTTTGTACATTTTAGAGAGAGAAGCTGTTAAATTCGTGTTATTTTGAGCCGCTGATGGCCGGTACGCGGATTTCTGAGCGGCTGCCGCCGATTCTTGACCGGAATCAGGCGCCGGTGGCGTTCGGTCAGCGCGCCCTCCCACGGCTGGCGGCGGAACTGCAGGATGGAGAGCGGGTTGTCCGGCAGAGGGCGCTGGCGGCTCTACGAGACCTTATTCATGACCCTGAGCGGGCTTACGAGGCCATTCACCACGGTATGGAGAGTAAATAGAATAAATAAAATGCAGTCATGATGATTTATACGACGATGTTTCCATATAAAACGGCTGTGTCTCAAATGGAGCTGTGATTACAGAACTTAGGGAATCACTGTCTTCTACAGTGAAAGTGAATGTAAAGAGGCATGTATATATATATATATATATATATATATATATATTTATATATATGTTTCTACGCTCGTTGTCCATTTTA